TTTAAATATTTATTTATAAACATTCTGTCTAAACAATTGTTCGTTTCAACCAAACTAAATTCAAATACTTCTAATTCAGTTTATAATATTAACTCATTACTTGTAAATAACTCAGTATAATTAGTAGTAATGTAACAACAAAATATTGATATTATGTGATTAATTTCAATCAAACACTTCTTATCATTTTATTTGATATATTCTGTTTAATAAATAAATTGTTCAAGTAAACATTAATACAAGTAAACACTTCAATTAATTAATACTAAAATCTTTGTTGGTTATTAAATTATTATTCTATTTAATTTATTTGTGTCATTAATCTAAATAAAAATTAGTTTTAGACACTCCAAAAATTAATATTCAATTTGAACATCTACTTCATTCCACTTTTTTTTAATCATCAACACTTATTAGTTATGAATGTTTCTATGCATCTGATATCAACATGATTCAAATTTCATTGTCTTTCGTGTTTTATGTTACTTTCATGCTAAATTATCAACAAAAACTATTGAGTATTATATTCAAATATGTCAATTCATTAATACATAACAAACTTTCTATTCAACTCAGAGAACAAGCGTTAGCTATTGTAACTCAATACCAATTATTCTTTACAAGAGTTAATTAATTATCATCTCCATTGAACTAATACTCTTTAAGTAAAATAAAGAAAATTACATATATCTATAAAACTACAAGTTGGTTTTACAAGTTAACAAAGTTAATTCTATGTTTATTACTACAGAAAGAATATGAATAACAAAAACAAACAATTTATCAAACTATTGAAAATATCTATAACTATTTTTATTTCAAGAATAACAAAAAAGGAATATTAAAACGAATGAATTATCGAATTAATTTGATAGTTTAATAACCAAAGCTAGGCTTTGGTGGTAAATTTCTTCTCAAATATGGGTCACTATTTTTAAAAGTACCAAACATGTCAGGATTTAAATATAACCCACGAACATAAGGATTTACTCTATAATAAGGTCTTCTATAATAATAATAAGGATTTGGGATAAATCTTATTGGTGACATATAAACTGGCATTATAGGTTGATACGTCATTGGAGGTATTGGTATTTGAGGGATTTGTCTCATTAAGTCTATTGTAGATTCTAATTGAGTCTCTTTTATTTGTTTATTTGAAGGGATTTTCTTTTCTTCCTTCTTTATTTCTTTTTTAATTTCTTTCTTTATTTCTTTTTTAACGTCTTTTTTTAAATCCTTTTTAACTTCTTTCTTTAAGTCTTTCTTTACTTCTTTCTTCAAATTCTCTTTTTTGATGTCTTCTTTTTTAACAGTTTCTTTCTTTGTGTCTTTTTTTGTTATTGTTTTAACATTTTTTTTAGGTTCATTCTTTACTTCTTTTTTGTTATTTTTTTTACTTACATATCCAATTGGTTTTGCAGTATGTACGTGTGGAGCATCTTCTTTTAATTTAAATTCTTCTGATGATTTGTTTACACGTTTCATTGCTTTTTTAACTTCTTTTTTTGCTTCTTTAACTTTAGGTGAATCTTCTTTACAATTTTTTTTTGTAATTTTTGTTTTTTTCATTTCAATTTGGTCATAAAGTTTTTCAAGATCTAAAGCTTTGTCTCCAATTGGAATTTCTTTTGTATATTGTTTTTCTCTAATCAACTTAATAACTTCATTCTTTAAAATTTCTAATTTTTGAGTAGCTCCATCAAAATTTGATCCTTCTCTAACTTTATTTAAAATAAGATCAATTTCATTACTATGATTTTTAATTGAATCTCCAATAACAGATAATTTATCTCCAATTTCTGCAATAATAGAACTTACTTCCTTTTCTTGTTTTTTAGTTAATGGTACAGCAAAAGCAGTTATTATTAAAATAACAAAGAACATTATAAAATATTTTTAGTTTTTTATTTTTTAGTTCTTCTTGGTTTTTAAAAATCACATTTTCTTGTCTTGTTACAAAACAAAAAGAAAGTTATTGTAGTTATTTTAATGATTCTTTGTTAATTTCAATTAATTGAATGAAAAAACTTACGAAAAGATAATTTATTGTTTTTTATGAGTAGTTTTTGTTAGTAGTTGATATAATTTGATATTCTGTGAAAAGATGTTTGTAACAAACCTCCATCATATTTTTATAGTTCTTATGAAGTAAAACGAATTTTCGTTTTGTTAAAATCTAAAGGAAGAGACAAAGCAATAGTCAGTTATAGAAAACTAACAATTCAAATGACTTATCAACCAGTTGATATAACCACTAATACTATTCCTGTTACTAAAGAACATTATTATCGTGGATTAGAATTAATTAGTCAAGGGAAAACTGCATTAATAACACTTGCAGGTGGACAAGGAAGCAGACTTGGATTTGAACATCCAAAAGGGATGTTTGTATTACCATTTGAAATACCAAAATCAATATTTCAAATGACGTCAGAAAGATTGTTAAGACTTCAAGAATTAGCAAGTGAATATAGTCATCAAAAGAATGTAATGATTCATTGGTTTTTAATGACTAATGAAGAAACAATAGAAGAAATTAATAATTATTTTAAAGAACATCAATATTTTGGATTATCCTCTGAACAAATTCATTGTTTTCCACAAGGAATGCTTCCAGTTGTAGATTTTAATGGTAAAATATTATATGAAAAGAAAGACAAGCCATATATGGCTCCTAATGGACATGGAGGATTATTTAAAGCATTAAAAGATAATGGGATATTAGAATTTATGAATGAAAAAGGAATTAAATATTCAGTCGCCCATAATGTAGATAATATATTATGTAAAGATGTAGACCCAAATATGATTGGATATATGGATTTACTTCAGTCAGAGATTTGTATTAAAATTGTAAAAAAAGGATTTAAAGAAGAGAAAGTTGGTGTTTTAGTAAAAGAACAAGAAAGGATTAAAGTTGTTGAATATACTGAATTAACTGATGAATTAAATAAACAATTATCTAATGGAGAATTTATTTATAATTGTGGACATATTTCTATTAATGGTTATTCAACATCTTTCTTAGAAAAAGCTGCAGAATATCAATTACCATATCACATTGCTAAGAAAAAAGTTCCATTTGTTAATGAACAAGGAATAGTTATTCATCCTTCAGAAAATAATGGAATTAAAAAAGAAATGTTTTTCTTTGATGTTTTTCCATTAGCAACAAAAGTATCAATTTTTGAAATTCAAAGATTTATAGAATTTAGTGCTTTAAAAAATTCATTAAATGAAAGTTTTGATAATGTTAATACAGTTAAAAGAGATTGGTATCGTTTAAATATTTATTACCTTAAAAAAGCTGGAGCTATTGTTGATGATTCAAAAAGTCCAATTTGTGAAATTAGTTTTAGAAAGTCATTTGAAGAAGAAGGTTTAAAAGAGTTTAAAGGAAAAACAATTCAACTTCCTTTTATTCTTCAGTAAAATGAAAGATTAAATTACTAGTTTTTTATATTCAATTTAAATTTTATTATATGTTCTTCTAAACTAATAAAATTAACAACAAGAATTTTTTGATTCTGTTAATGGTTTTGAAAAAGAAATAGAAGAGTTTTTGTCTGGAGATGGTGGTATTTTATTTTTTAACATTAAATCTACTAATTGTTGAAACATTAATGTAACATTACTTCCTTCTTTAGCTGAAGTTTCTAAAAAACTCATTTGATGTTGTTTTGCAAATTCCATTGCAGTTTGTGTTTGAACACATCTTCTATAGGAAAGGTCTGACTTCGATCCAATTAACATAACTTCACATTCAGGACATTCTTCTTTTAAAGCTGTATACCACATCATTACATTATTAAAACTTGTTGCATCAGTAATATCATAAACTAAAAAACAGCCATTACTTGCTTTATAATAACTATTAACAATAGACCTAAATCTTTCACTTCCAGCAGTATCCCACTATAAAATAATTATTGTTGTTATGACTTTTTATATAATTTTTAAAGTATTAATATAAAAGTGAGTTTTTATAAAAATAACAAACAATTTGCATTTTGATTGTACGACCATTTCTTTTCATTGTAGCAACTTTAAAATCAACACCTATTGTTGTAATATATGTTGTACTAAATGTTGAATCACAATATCTTAATAAAAGTGATGTCTTTCCAACTGAAATATCTCCAATTAATAAGACTTTAAGTAATATAACATCTCTACTATTTAATTTATTCTTTTTATTAAGTTAATTATATATATTAAATCAAACTCATCTTCCATGTCAAATAAGTTTATTTTTTTTAATTCTCTATGTCGTTTTCTTAAATTTTAATCAAAAAAAAAATAAGCGTTTTTCTTTTTATATTGAAAAGTTATTCTTTAAAGGGATATTCAAAGCTTTTTTTTTTAAACTTATTATTTTCTTATAATCCTTTCATTTTTTATTCATTTATAACATATTTCTTATATTTTTTATTTAGTAATATTCAAAATTATTCATTATTCATGATGATCCAACTTATTGTAAAACAACTTTTTACTCTATTTTGTTGTTTTAAAATAAGTTTTTCCTTTGATATTTTTTTCAATTAGAAGTTTTTAACTTAAATTAACTAGAATATTACTTTTTTTAATGTATTTTTCAATTGAACTTTCTGAAATAAAAAAAAAGATAAAATCAACAAACAAAACCAAATAAATAGTCATTAATAACATTTTAATTATCAATAATTGTTTTTATATTAACTTCATGATTTGATTTTATCAAATTTTGTTTTAAATACTCATTCTCTCCTTTTTTTGAAATAACATTCTTTCTAACTTTCTTTATAATGATTAAGAGAAGAAGAGAAATAATCCAAAGTAAAAATACAATACCTTCAAAAATACTCCAAAACATAAGATGTGTAAGAGGTTTTAATTCATCATTTGGGTCATATTGAATATCAACATAACCTTCAAATATCCCATAGTCATTTGCATTCATTCCTCCTACAAAGACATATTTTTTTCCTTTATTTAAACGAATCCTTAATAAACACCCATTATTTCCAATAGGTGAAGTAACACAATTTGCTTGGTCAATACACACTTTTGGTACAGATTCATTATAAATAACTTCACAACTTTCATATATCTCTACAGCAGTTTTAAAGGAACTAGAAGCGTTTATTTGAATAGTAACATTAGCAGGTTGTGAAAGGTCAAGTAAATACCAAATACCTTTTAATGAAATAATTTCTCTACATTTTGATTCTGAAGTGGTACCACGTGATGTAAATCCTCTAATATTTCTACTTTCACTTATTATCGATGCAAATTTACAACTACTATCAGTAGCTTTTTGGTCATAATATAATGAAAATCTTGTTACTCCTAAATTCGTTGAAATAATACCAATATAACTATTAACATTTTGATCTATTGAAATATCTACTGAATGTCCAAATCCACATGAAGAAGACGTTCCTTGAATACATTCAAGTGATTCAGGACCAGTAAGATCACTTAATAATGTAATATTCGTTAACAAATTAGATTCTGTTCCACATGTACTAGCTGTGTATTTAAATGATGGGTCATGTGAGTATCTTAACCAAACTCCATAGTGATATGTTTTTGTATTTTCTTTTTCACTACAATAATTTTCTATTTCAAAAGGTAGAGCTACCATTTTAGTAAATGGAATTGATTCTATAATAATTGGATTGGACGGATATTTTCCAATATTCTCTTTACTTTTTAATGCCCAAAACAAAAAGTAACCATATTGAGCTGGCATATAAATTGTATATGAAGTTGCAAATACATAAAATTCTTTATATTTAATATCTATTGTTGAATAACTTGTTTCTAAACATAAAGTAGAATTACATTTATCATGAACTTCTAAATAACACATAAACTCTTCAGCTAGATATGGAGTTATTCCAATAGTAATAATATCCTCTGAATTTTGAATAAAATGGTACCAACTTCCTTGCATTTCTTCTATATCTTGAGAACATCCAATTATTGAACTTGGTAATAGTGATGAACCAACAAATTGAGAATAACTTTCATTTTCATTTAATGAAACAATATGAGCATTTTCACATTGTCCATTAGTTACTCCAGTAACTGATAATACAGAAACACTAATTTCACAAGGCTCTTTAATACAAATTACTTGTAACATAGTATTAGTATTATATTCTGATTGAACAATAGTATATTCATGTTTACCTTGAAAAGTACCTTCTTTAAAGTTACCACAATAATTATTATATCCAATAATTGTTTCAGTAACTTCAGAAAAATATTTGGTATAAAATGTAGTAAAAACATATTTATTTGTATCACCTGCAAGGCTAAAAAAAATTACTTTACCAGTTACATTTTTTCCATTATTTCTTGTATAACTTACTTCTGGATTTGTTGATATATTAAAATTCATATAAAATGGAAATTGAGTTATTCCAAATGCTGTAGAACAATCCCCATATTGAGACTCATCATAAATGTGTAATTGAAATGAGCGTTGTTGTTTTAACACACCACCTGTTGGACTTACTACAATATAATATAATTCATTTGGTATTAAATCTTGTGCATCATAACTTGCTAATGTTCCACACCCATTAGAATTTGAACCAATATATTGTAAATTAATTAATTTTTGGTCATATTTAAAAAGATAAATTGTAGTTGGAAATGATGTATATTTATTACAAGTATCAATTCTTATAGATGTTGATTTAGGAGTAAATGAATACCATCTTCCTGAAATACTCAAATCTGTATTTGGTATATCTGAAATAGTACAATCTTCTGTTATTCTATCATCAACTACAGAAGGAATATTTAAATTTAAGGCTAATTGATAAAAACAATTATTTTGTTTAATTAAATTAGGGCTATAAGGATGTACAGTTAAAGTATATAGTCCAGTAACATTAGATGTACTTGTTATTAAAATATAGTATTTTTTATTTGTTTCAGGTTGGAAGGTAATTCGAGATAATATCCCACCACATACTCCTTCTGGGTCATCATTTTGAGATTGTCCACAACCACTTAATATTTTATTACATGAACTAAAGATTCTTACAATAGCAGGAAAATTAGTGTGAGGATAACATGTTGATATTTTAAGTAATGTTGGAGTATTATCTGTTGTAAATGAATATAAAATTCCATTTCTATTTCCAGTTAAATTTCCATTTCTACAACTCCACGGATATTGTGTAGTACTCCACGTTAAATTATTACTATCTTCATAATCTTTCTTTATATCAATTTCAATCGTTTTATCACATAATTGTCCTTTCACTTCATGTTTCAAAAAAATGAACAGAATCAAAAATCCCCATTTCAATAACATTTTTCTTCTTTTTTATTAGTTCTAAGTTTTATTTTTAAGTTCTTTCTTGTGATAATAAGAAATGATAAAAATCTTTATTAACTAAATTTTAATTGAAATAAAATAGAAAATATTTCGATAATTTCAAGTGAAGAAACAAGTAAAAAGCTCTAACTAAAAAAAAAGACGAAGAACTGAAAAATTTTTTCAAAAGGAAAAATTTGGAAGGGAAAAATCTCAAAAATGATAATAAAAGATGTCAAAAAGATTATATGTTGTAAATGAGATTGTATCAACTGAAGAGTCATATGCACGGGCATTACAAACTGTTGTTGATTTATACATTACTCCACTCAAAGGAATGGATTTAATTAGTGAAGAAGATATGAAAGGTTTATTCTGTAATCTAGAAGAGTTATTAGATGGAGCTAATCAATTAACAAAACAGTTAAAAGATAGGTTAAAAGAGTTTGCATTAAATGACAATATATGTGATGTATTTTTATTAAATGTTTGTTACTAATAATTATTTTTATAGAAATTCATTTGTATAATTTGATAATTGTTTTTAAAAGGAAATAACAAAATAGAAACCGTTATTTAATCGTTTTGGTCCATATATTCAAAATTATGAAAAGGCATCATTATTATTTGATAAATTATCTAAAAAAAAGAAGTTTGAAGAATTTTGTGAAACACAAAAAGAAAATCCATTGTCTAATAATGGGAATTTAATGTCATTTTTAATATTCCCAGTCCAAAGAATTCCTAGATATATTTTATTAATGAAAGAATATATCAAGAATACAGAAAAAGATCATCCAGATGCAGTTATTGCAGAACAAGTAAGAAGATATTTAGACTCATATGCTAAAGCCGTTAATGCAATTATTGCAAATGAAAATAATAAACAAAAGATGAGAGATATTATTAAAATGTTTACTGACTTAGATCCTAAAACTGAAAATGACTTAAAAACTTTACCTCGTACTTTGGTACGTGAAGGTATTTTAAGAAAACAATGTAGAAAAGCTGTAAAAGAAAGGTACTTTTATTTATTTAATGATGCAACAGTAATTTATGGTGAACAACAAGGAAAGAAAATACAATTTCATCAATTATTAGAATTAACTTCTGTTAAAGATATAGAAGATTCTGATATTAGTCAAAATGGATTTCAACTTAAAGGACTTCAAAAATCAGTTGTTGTTTATGCAGAAACATTTGATGAAAAGAAGGAATGGGTAATGGACTTAAATAAAGCATTCACTGGTGAAAGAAAATATGAATTTGAAGAAGAATTAAGTGATAATGAAGCAGCCCCAACATGGATACCTGATGATAATGTTTTAGATTGTATGAACTGTCATTCAAAATTTACTTTATTAAATAGAAGACATCATTGTAGAAAATGTGGTAGAGTTTTATGTGCTGAATGTACAAAGAGAAGAGTTGTTATTCCTCATATTAGTTCTAAACCTGTTAGAGTTTGTGAGAATTGTGCTACAAAATTTGAAAATAAAGACTTTGAAGGAGTTGATGATAACTCTGAACATGTTAATGCAAATGGAGTTGCCCCTCCTTCTTTACCTAATATTCCTCCTCCACAAAGAAAGCAACTAATTAAAATTAGTGCGATGTATCCCACACTTCAACCGCCATCAAGAGAACCGCCTGAATTACCTCAATATGAATCTTATTAATTTTGTTTCAATAATATTTTTTTGTCTATGAGCAAATTAATTAAGGTTATTAAAAGAAATTAATTTATGTAAAAAACATTATTGATGTTGTGCTTCAATAATGTAATTCAATAATTTTTGTTCGGACTCTTTCGAAAGTAAGTATTCATTTGATAGATTCTTACATATTTGATTTGGGTCGTCATCTTTATTAATATTAATCCAAATTTGTTTACCATTTGGAAGAATGCACATCA